TCTGTCTAATTTGTATTTAATACATAGTTTTTTGTTAATTTCTACCGATTATTTGTTTGGAAAGGAATACAGAATAGGAAAATGATCACTGCGGTGCGAGCTATTTAAAACGGTTCAGTTTAAAAGAGAGGTTAGCTCGGACATACAAATTGATAAATTACAGCCTGCCCGTCAAGTGTGGCAACTATGGCCAATATCACCACTACAAGGCAGTCTATGGGGGAGGCCTATGTTCTTTATTACCTGTTACAGAAACCCACATGATGATATGGGATAGTGGATATTCTTACACCACCACTACACGGGTTTTTGTTTGATATTATTATTCTATTAAGTTTATTAGCAACAGGTTACGATAATTTACGTTTATTTTATACGCTGACTTAGAAGAAAAAGATTTTTTTAATAGCTTATTACGACGAATATAAACTTCTTATGATAAAAATTGTCAGGCTATTTTAATTAAAGTTATTGCTAATTTTTCTTTTTTATATTGAGTAAATATGTATTTACAATGTCATTTTGGATGACTGTGCATTCTGCGGATTAATGTAACCTTTCCTGTAATTGGTCCTTTAAAATTGGGATGACCTTTTCGACACACGTGACCGAAAATTCCTTCTATTAGCGACGCTCACAAGTTAATTCGTATTATTGGTACTTCTAAAAATAAGTCACACCCTGCCTCGAATTGAATAATTATTGTGAGTGATCGTTATTTGCGTTGCTGTAGCCTCTGAAGAGGAGTACATGGAAGCAGAAGTAATCGCATACGTACCTAAAATAAGTACTGCCGGTTTTAGTATTATTCTCTAGCTAGATGAATCGGTTTACATCAATCGAACACTAGATTAATTACATAACCATGAACCTTTCACAATCTCTTCACTACTTTTGCAAGAAACCAAAACAATTCAAAATAAAGTTTTCAACGAAATATTTTTACAGTAACATTTAAACTAAGTAGGTACTTATTACTTTTACTAACTAGTAAAAATGATCAAATAAAAAGGACAAGCACAATAGGTTTATATTTGAAAATAGACTAAAATTACGAAGAATATAAAAGAGAAATTCATCATGATTTCTGTCTGTTCATTCTGATAACATTTACTTTGTTGTATATTATATGCCATCAAAACATAACTTTTAAAGAAAACCAAGTCTCGCAACTCAGTTCTTCTACCGTAAAAAGTTGTGAGATCCATGTAATACCAAGTTGTTCTCGGAGGCTTTGACGTTACAATTTTTGACAAGTCTGGACGGTATATGCCTCTTAATCATCTATATATATATATATATGTACTACGCACTAGATATGGCATTCCGAACACTCAACTGAACTGTATTGCAATCCGTACACCTGTTATTGGGCTTCGATATTCATCATTGATTTATATATTACACTAGATCAGTAATTACCGCGCCAAAGCGTTGCCACTGCACATATGGCCACAGCCATATGTCTAGCTAACGTCAGTTCAGTGTTCAATATGACGTCGACAGAGTTGAGCCGCGACAAAAAATGGGATAATGCGTAGTGAAAGAATGCTATTCAAAGTCACAAAAACGTAATAAATCAAGCGGAATCACTTTCAACAATAATTTTTAGTTCTTGTTTTCATATAAACGTAAAAAACCTCAAATAATTAAATAAAATTATCGAATATTGCCGTTTAGGTTCAATGTTGCCACTTTTCCGCATTTGTGATTATCCTACATTAATGGCAAACTATATAACTAATGGAGTAAGTTAATTTGTTACCTCTGATTTTAAATATTTTGGAAATTTTAATAAAAACTACGTTTTAACTTTCATACAAGATAATTAATCATTCTTATTTTAGTTTATTCATGAATTATCTATTAAATATATTTTATTATCTATTTATTTTATATTAATAATATTAAATTAATTATAATTTCATATAAATATTATATTAATTATATTTTATTACCTATTTTATATTGTTTGATTTATTAGTACAATAAAAATACTTATAAAAATATGTTTTATTTCATCATTATATTTACTTCTATTCATCTGATAAGCTTTTTATCCTGTTTTTTCTAAGGGGACGCAATAAACATTTTAAAATAAAATACACTTTTTTTAATATAAAAACAATTAATTGCAGCTTAAAAAAAAAACTCATTTTATTGCGTATTTTAGGTATAATTTCACATAGTAAGCCACACCAACACGCCATTGCATGTTTGTGTGTCTATCTCTCTCTTTATCTAATCTTAGCGACGATATTGTTTTCGCATCTTGTGAAAGTGAAATAGATATATGTTTATTTAAAATTGTTATTAATTTCAAAGCTACGTCGTCGCGTTTGAATAGTGGTTACACTTTTTCGACGCCCTTACCGGGCGGTGTTTTGCTCCTCTAGTGTTGTATAACTCAATGATATTCATGCAGTGTGGAGCGACGCTAATAATAATTTTATATTAAATTAGCACATAAGCAAAATAAACGAAAATTAAAAAAATGTACTTGATTAACAATACAATCTAAACAAACAATTATTTATTATGACAATTTTCGCGCGTTTATATCACCTGCGCATACGTGAACTACTGTTTCCCGCACATGTGCGGATACAGAGTAGTGCACATTTTTTGTTTGGAATAACTTCTCTAGTACGTAGTACATATAACTCAATGTTCTTAGTCTATAGATTTATACAGTAAACATTATTTTATTCTAAATTTGAAACTTCTCTGTCAGTCAGTGAGTAAGTGACAAAATTAAGAAAATTTTACTAGTTATAATCCTTAAACTACTGGTTCAAATTAAGCAAAATTTGAAATAAACCGTGTTTATACAATGCCTGCTTGGTAACTGAAAATTCAGACTTCTAGTCTTATCATTAGGGGGTTCCAAATGGATTGAACTGATTCTAGAAAAGGATGGTACGGCCATGCCACTTTTTTGCTCGACTTGACGAAGGCACTGCCGTACCCCTAGATCCTTTGTCTATACTTCACGATTTCTGTCTGTTCTGTGTATTTTTTTTTTAAATTTTGAAGTTGTCATCAAAACTTCTTGAGATAATGACTGCTATGGCTTTTTAAAAGAACCTTCTAAATCATTTTGAATTTCAACATAAGCAGCTGGAGAGGAAATAATATTAGGATCGGCGCAATTCGGTTCCGGTGGCTTAGGCGAAATAGACGGATTAGACGTGGCTACTACGCTCTCGTAGTTAGTCTCTACTAACGCTACGTTAGTAATGTAATCAGAATATTACAAGAAAACTTAAAATAATTAATATGACACCAAAGACCCGTGAAACCGTTATTGACGTTCAGTTGACAATCACTCTGCCCCTGCGTATTGGTACTCCCCTCCGATACGCAGGTGACTCGTGTTGCTCTATGTCTGCAGCCCTAGTCACATACAAAATTATACTAGTACCACCGAGTACACACTTTCGCTATTTATAGTACAATCCCAAAAATTCGTGCAATGTAATCATAGAAATATTATTCCAATATCATAGTAACCATGGGAGATAATGTGACAATGAATGAATTTCATTATATACTATTCTAGTCTTTGGAATGAATTGTCAGTCTTTAACAGTCTTGAACAACGTACGTACTCACTGACTAGACGTAGCATGATTATATCCTCTTTGTAACTGACCTTCATATTATGTGATTCAGTAGGTAATCTTAACGCTAAATGGGATAAGGGATATAAAAAATATATAGGGATAAAAAACATGCGTATAGCTCACAAGCGACAGAAGTGAAACCTTCAAATGATATGAAATACAAAATACAAATACTTTACGGCATATGATTTATTTAATATTATAATTTTAACTACAACTTCGGCATAAAATACAAGAAAATTTAATTACTGCAAAATTAATATATTAATTATAATTATAGTATAGTATATTATAAAATAAATTAATATAATTAATTTATTTTAGTATATTAACGTACGGGACAGCCACTAATTTTAACGACGAGTAGATTAATTTCCCTTCGAATGTTTATACTCTTTACATATACCTCATATAATACTCACTTATTACAAAAATATTTATATCGATTTATTGTTCTTCACTGCTTGTTTATTCCATAGGCACACCGTACATTGTTGAACAAAACACGTAAGCGATGCCGTTTCGGCGGCGCTTAAGACTTTTTCTCGCGAGCATTGAGCTTCCTATTTGATTTTCGCCCACGTTAAATCTTATGAATTTATGTATCTGTCTCTTGTTACTGTCGCTTTTTCGTTTCATCCAGTTTCAAATCACAACGATGCTAAAGAAGTTTTCACTTCAAAAATCTATTAAACGAAGATCCTGAGTGAAATAAAGTCAAGGCTTAAAAACACGCATCCAAGCCAAAAATCTTAACAGGTCTTTTTTTTTTGGAGTTTATGGCCTGGTATCTAGACCTTTAGGCCATCTTAACAGGTCTATGGTATGGAGCATTGCCAATATGTGGGGAATTTCCCAAACTGCGGGGAATTTCAAGTTTTAATTACAAGGGAAGGAAATAAAACACTTCATGTCTTAAAATGCTTGTTACAAAAATATGGAAAAAAAGAAAATTGTAAGTTAAAAGAATTAATATTATGAAATTACTTGAAACTTTTTTCACTTCTTAAAATAAATTGAAGAGAATTGTGATAAATCTACTTATTTTTGTCCCCAAATTAGGGAATTAATTTTGGATTTTCGGCTTTTCGGGGAATTGGACAAATTGGTGCTGGCAACTTCGAAGTGGATTGTTTCTTACCCGTATTGGCCTAAAGGTCTAGATACCAGGCCATACCCTCCAAACAAAAATTTCTTATCCGTCACTCGTCAGGGTCACATATTTATTTATCTATGGTCAGGGTAAATGTAACCTGTGGTTTCTTAACTGTGCTGAGTAGAGTAATTTTTTGAACTTTCATTTAAATTGGGTTACATTTATTCTAATGAATGTTATTAAACGTTATATGTGTTTCTTGAACAGTATTGTATATAATGGATGAAAAGGAAGAGTTGCATCTAACCTCTCAAGAACTACAAGTTTTATCAGAACTTGACAGGTACATATTAGTATGTTTTGTTACGGCGATATTTGAATACAAAATATAATTTATTAAGATTAAACAATCCCAACTATTTTTTTAGTAGCGACTGTTTAATCTTAGTATATTGTATATTACAAAGTAAAATTTTTGGGTTAAGTAATATACATGTCACTAAAAACAGACCAATTTGGGTACAAACAACAAATATTCAAAAAGTAGACTGATGCAAGGTTCTTTAGCAGTTTCTAAATTCATAACTACAGGAATGTACAACATTCTTCAGTATCAAAACAAATTATATTGAAATTTGACTATTTTCAATTAACATCCAGTTTGAAAATAACATTTAATGCTAGATTTAATTATTTGCGATTTTATTTCATTTTACCAGAGGACATTACATAGATTTCTTTCAAAGAGTAACCCAAAAAGTTGTACTCAATTGGTTAGATACCTGTATTTGTTGAATTAAATTATTAGTTATATTTTTTGAGGACACATAATATGTAGTATGCCATGTTATTTGTATGTCATGTCTATTGTATGTCAAATAAAAAGACAACATCATACATTCTGAAATAATTTTAAATAAAATTACAGTTCTCCCTAGTTCCTTGTTACTTTCTTTTATAGTGTATTTGTAACATGGCAAAATTTATACCCCACTTAATCCTATTATCCTACTAATAATTTTCTACGAAAATAGTAGGATATTAGTAGTATTCTTACTTACTTATTATAAATATTATATATAATAATTTTTTTTCTAAAATACACATTAAAAAAAATAATTTTAATGAAAAAAAATTAATTTGCAAAGGAGACGGGCGTATTTGGGCCTAACGTTACACAAGTGAAATATTTATAAATATTTTTTTAAAGTTTTTTTGTAGTTGATAATGAAATATTAAGCAGTTTTATCATGGCAAAAGAAATTAAATATCTTATAAGAATAATACTGACTTCCGTTATTTTTTATTTTAAACAATGCTGCCAGATGAAATAGGTTAGTTAATCGATTTTAATACAAAAATAGAAAAAAGACAATAAAAAGTTATTCAGTCTTTTCTTCTTTAGGTAAGTTTAAGAAACTTCTTATTTAAGTAATGGTTCCCTCGTGACACCTTAACATTTCAAAATAGTCGTAAAAATAAATTGACTGAATAAATTAATAAATAGATTTCACAATCGAATATCAATGTTTTATACAGGCCACAAAGCGGAAATGTCAACGTTAGTTTAAAAACTAAAAACGTCACTCAAATCATTTGTTACTTTTGTTCACAGAGTACTTTTTTATATAGGGAACTTTTGTTTGGCTCTGAGCTTGCGGTGCTAGTAAATATTTTCTGTTGTTTTCCTGTGCTGTAATAATATTCCCATCTTTAACAACTCTGGCTACATATAAAGGATTCTGACGGTTTCTTTTCTGATTTTACAAGAATACATGTGCAAAATGATAAATGATTTTCCCCAGCTCACATACAGTAATTTAATAAAAATATCTTTAGGTATTTATCAAATTAAGTGGGCTAGGTCCCATTATGGTGAACACATACAAGATGGGAGATATGAAATAGAAGTGTGTCTAGAAACGGACAGCAACCTACTAAGAGAATTGTCTTTATTCAACCTCTTAATAGTCACCTATAATGGTACTATCCAACTATTCTAGCTGGCTATTGAGAGGTCGAATAAGATCGAGACATATACTTAAGCTCAAAAACATATTTTACCAATGATTTAAAAAGGAAGGATAGGCCCATCTAAATATTTTACTCATAACTTTTTCATACTAGAAAAAGTAGCGCATCTGTCATAATACAAATGTCATATCAACACGACATAACCAGGGTCGGATTTCGTAGTATAATTATTTCATAGTTTGGAGTATATAGTATCGTAATAATACTAAGCGCAAATACCATCATTTTACCTAAAGATCGACTTGTATTATTATTAGGTCCTTTTACTTTTTAATATTAACCCTACGATATCGAGAATTTCCGTATTGTACATGAGTACCGCGTTTTTTAAATAAAAATAGAATTAGCTCCCTTTTCTGGTCAATCGGTGCTCGATCGATGCATTTATGTTGCATTCTTGATACAACTATAATGAGGGGCTACCACGATAAAAACTCTAAGCTCTAGAAGCAATTGGTTTGAAAACAGAATTTCAAAATATTTTATGAATCAGATTGTGAGATTCAATTACGCAATTTAATACGCAGATATGGTTTCTTTTATACTCTTTTCGTTTTACCCTTATTGAATATAAAATATATTAGGTACCAATATTCAAAATTAAATATATTCTATGTTTTTTAGACAAAAATAAAACAGAAATAAAAATAAAACCGTCAAAAACAAAACGTATAGATAAACTAGACGCGTGGCGCCAAAATCCCGCCACATGGGAAAAAAATATGAAACGTGATATAATTTTTTTTAAAATAGTATAATTTGGTTTTTCATGTACAATATTTTTGAGGGTCTGAATCCAACCCTGGCATAATATTGGTAACGTAACTAAACTAACTGTAAAATAAAACTTTAAAAATGCAGTTATATAATAATTTAATTGTAACAAAATTAATACAGGGTTATTAACCGATGATACGATATCCCATGTTCCTTTTTAATCTTCGTATCGTAATTTTTGCATCCTTTCACCACGCAGCTTAACATATTTATGACAGACAAATCTGTTCTGCGTGCGCACTACTGTCGACCGATTCGCTTTGGCCCTAAACTGTAATTTTAGGGCCAGTGTACTGGTCCGTTTTAGTTGTTCGGTTGGCCCGGTCCTTACGCTAGTAATATATAAGTCAATGTATTTTACATATATTTTAGTTGACAGTCCTCTTAATGGTAGAGAGATCATCAAACAGTATTATTTCAATTCTTTGGTAGGAAAAAGAACTGTAGGTTGCTGTTGTCATGTAATGTCCATAATATGGTACCTAAGCTGGGTAAGGCGTCAAGAGAATTTAATACTGCCTGCACCGTTTTTAGACGATATTTTATTTGTTTATGATGAAGTGGATAATTAATAAACCATTAAAAGAGAAAATGTTTTTAATTCATCCTCCTGCTTTTTTATAATTATTTAAAACTTCTAGAATTTAGTCGGACGGCGGCATCTGAATCTTCTATTTGTGAATGTCCTACAATACATAAAATTATGGTGAAGTCTAGTTTACAATAAAGTCTAATAATTATTTTCTTAAAGTGTAATGTGAGAGCTTGGTGTGAGAATAACATTGTATGCATAGCATAAGCAAAATACAACCTATATTTTTTTTCTACCATGAAGCACTCATAAACATTTTAGTTATTTTTAATGGTATTGATATATAAATAAAATAATACAGTAATCGTTGCTGTAACATCCGCCCGTCTCCTTTTATGTGGTTTTATTATCTCTGCATTGGCCGAGGAGTAAGAGGATTGTCCAAGACCCCACATTACCGATACAGGTGTAAGAGGAAATAAAACCACATTGAATTTGCAAAATAATTTTTTTTTCATTAAAATAATTTTTTTAATGTTTCTTTGAAAAAAAAATTATTTCTATACGCTTGGATACTAATTCTGATAATGCAGTTAACGGGAACCACAGGATTTTTGTTACATATCACTCTACGGCGGCTGACCGCTAAGTCAGCCGCCGTAGAGTCTACATTACCTGATGATGCCTCGTGAAGAGGCGAAACACGTGTAGTATTATCGTCGATGGTGTGTCTTGCCTGGAATAGTGGTGTTGGGAGTAGTGGTGCTGGGATTAGTGGTGACGGAGTTAGTGCATGCAATTGAGGGAGGGCGGGAGGTGCTCTTCAATCCAGACACAGCATTGTATTTGTTTGGCGAAAGGTTGCGAAGAAATTTATATTTTTATTTTTTACGAAAATTTAAATTAAACTAATTGCACTCATGATTTTTTATTCAAATAACCAGTTCAGTTTTTTTTATTATTTCGATAATATCAAAAAATATTCATATTTCATCAGTATGTAATTTGTATCTAAATATAATTTTCAAAACACACAATTTAAGAAAAAAAATACCGAGCAAAGCTCGGTCAATCAGGTACTAATATATGATATAAAGAGTAAAGTAAAGTCGTTAGCAGTGTATCCATATCTATATTACACAGACATATGTAGTGTATTGCTTTGAACAGAGTAACAACCAAGCATTGTGTTTATAACATATTCCTACTCTTAAGTTGATGTGCACTGTTTATTCAATTGCTTTACTAGAATAACTTCCGTTTGTTTTTTATAGCCGCCAGTTTGGATTCCTTAAACTCCGGGGTAGTGAGCATGTCAGAACACGTGCCTTGGTTCTTAAGGCCGTCAAATATTTGGAAGGAATGTTGGTTCAAGTTAAGGTATTGTTGAAGATATGTTAAGAAATTTATTAAAATATTAATTAACTTCATACATAATTTACATTGTCTTTTTTGTTACAGCCTATCAAAAGTCCACTACTGAATATACCACCCCCCTCCCCCCATAGATAGCTTCCGGGTGGACATTTGCCATAGTTGCCATGCTTGGAAGAAGGTGCATTAGCTACACAGTTTTTTATTATTTTGTGTTGTTATTAGAAGATGCTGCTGACCATTATCTGTATTATTTCCCCTGTCAACTTTTACAACATACACAGTATGATATGGTTTTGTGGTTATTTTTAATAATAATAATGTCCTTCAGGCCGAATTTCGGCCAAGGCGCCCTGCCTCATCGGAGGCTAGCCATCGGCGCAGGACAGGATTATAGTGCCAAGTGTATGCGCAAGCACAGGTGCACTCTCTATTCCCTCACTCTCGTAATCCAATGGGACGGTAAAGCGACACGACCGGGAGAGAGATCAGGCGCAGGACCAATGGCTTTACGTGCTTTACGAGGTACGGGGGTGAGACACCGTCCACTTCCTGACTCCGGGCAGCTACTGAGAAATTCTTGACAGAAAAACTCAATAATTGATTTTTTGGCCCGACCCGGGATTCGAACCCAGGACCTCATGATCAGCAGTCGCACTACTACAACCACTAGACCAACGAGGCAGTCAGTTAGTTATTTTTACACCGCCACTTAATGGTTAAATAAAATAAAATAAATAGATGATAGTAGAATAATAGGTATGGATTTACATTTTAAATCTAGCCTTTATTGTTTTATGTACTTTTTCTTTACAGGAAGAAGAGAGGGCCTGTTCTCCTGGTGCCCGAAGAGACATTTGTATAGATCCAAAAACTTACTGCAAATTGGGTCATTTTCACTTACTTCTTGAAGATTATGCTAAAGGTACATAAATGTTGTGCTATTTGTTTACGGTTTACAGGATAGGATAATTTATTTACATTTATGATTCTAAACCCTTAGTTTAGTTTACGACGGGCTGTTTTCCGCAACTCCGCGTCTAAGCGCGTATTTTGCGTGTGGGCAGGAATACTATGGTTATTCGAGCCATGATATCTCCCCGAAGAAGTTCAGCAGTCCCTTGATGTTGCAAGCAACTTCGGGGGAGCGATCCCGGCGTGTCGAGATGTTTAGCCCTGTATGAAGCGACTTCTGGACATGTCAGCAACACGTGGGCCGCCGTTTCTTCCGCTCCCATGCATGCCCTGCACAGGGGGCTATCAGTAACACCTATGGTGAACAAATGTTTGTTAAAAGAGCCATGTCCTGTGATAGCACTTCAGGATAGCCTGATCTGTGGCTTGTTCAGTCTCATTAGAACCTTGGTTAGATGACTGTTTATTTCAAGCAGTGCCTCCCTAGCTTGTCTACAGTCTACTAAATTTTTCCAAAGCTGAGCGTGTAATTTATTGAAGTATCTACGTACCAGTGAACGAACGTAGTCAAATTGGGATCGAATCGATCGTAGCGAATCGGGATTGGTATTATTGGTTCCGGCCCTATAGTTGCCAGGGCCGATCCCCTTCTGGCCAGTTCATCTGCTGCATCGTTGCCTCTAGATCCACTGTGTCCCTTGATCCATTGCAGAGTCACATTGTTGTGCTTACATACCTCATTCAATTGTTGATGGCACTCGTATATCAGTCCCGAGTTCGTCACATTGCAACTCAGAGCTTGTAGTACAGCTATACTGTCGGTCAGTATTCTAATGGAGAAGTCTTTCACCTTCTAGCATCTATTGCTATGGCCGCTTGGATGATACCTATGCATTCATCCTGGAAGATTGTGTTGTGGGTACCCAGCGGTGTGCATATGTGGATATTAAGGTCTTCAGAAAAAGCCCCAGACCCCACACCTTCATTTGTCTTTGAGCCATCCGTGAAAACTTTGAGCTCTCTTGGACCCAATCCTTCCAGATGGTTAGTTTCCTTCAATTGTATCCTGTACTTCTTATCGAATACGAATTGTTTTGGGATCCTATCATACTTGGCTTGTAAGATAGGAATATTTGAGTAAATTCTATCGATTATATCTGTATGGGGGACTCTACTCTTACTTAAAAGATTTAGGGTCTTGAGTCTAATGGCAGCTAAAGTTGCTTCTTGTTATATGTTATTGTATATTCTAAACCCTTATAAAAATTACAAGAAAGCTTGGAATTATGAAACTAATCAATTGGGATAGAAGCAGTTAAAATATTCTATTGTTATAAAAAACATAAATTTAAGTAAATAAACACCCATGTAGTATTCTCAGTTAAAAGATAATGAAAATGGTATAAATACTGTGTAAGGTATTCTATCTTAGTTCTCATAGGTGAGAACGCATTTGAAGCCTTCTTATTTTTTATTTTTTAATAGGATAGGGTGTCAAACGAGCACACAGTCCACCTGATGGTAAGTGGTTGCTGTGGCCCATAGACATCTACATCTATCCTCGCTTGCGAATCAAATTGCAGATGCGTTGTCTAAGATCGAATGTCTCGTTTCCAGTACAAAGGGTCTCCGGTTCTCTACACTCACCATACGAAATACAGCAGCATTAAGCAGCTATTTTACGCTCGTATTCTGTGAGGGCGTGGTCCTTCCCCGGCCGAGCTGATCCATTCGTGCTACAACTACACTACTAATATAACTGTAGTATGGCTCTACCACGTATATTTGAAGTTGGTTGCAGTTGTCCATAATTTTCAGTAGCCACTTACATCAGGTGGACTGTTATTTTCTTTATTTAAGTCTTTATATACAGGCTTATTTTGCAACAACCAGCCAAGTTTGCAGAGAAGGTTCAGAATTAATAATATATGCAAATGGTGAAGAAAATTTAATTAAAAAAATCTCCTTTATTCTGTCCTTTTTATCTTTTAAATTCAAAATGCCATTTTGGCGCAAATGAATGAATGAATGTGATTGAACGTTGATTTTATCTTCGTCTATTTTCCACATGTTATATCATCTGCGTGATAATAGCCCGTGCTCATGGTATTTTTACGCAATGCTTATTTTTCACTCCTACAGTATCTACATAACTCAGATGCTATAATCTACCTATCAAAGCAATGGAGCATTTGATATTTTGCATTTCTATGATATGGAGGAGGGCGGTCGTTTCCAAGCCATGGACAGTTGTTTCGTCTTTGTATCAGAGTGATGGATGTTCTTGTTAAAATGTTCGAGCTTAACCCTGGTACAGGTGGTGGTGATTCACCTGGTACACAGGCATTATTTGCTTAAAAGAAGAATCCGGCCACTAATGTTTGTAAACCAATTCTGTTTTCTGAAATAAATTTTATTATTATTATTATTAACCCTGATAAATCTCCTAAGTTGAAAAAAAATTAAAAAGTCAAGAACTTGACGTCGACTTCATAATACGAGAACAAATTGACATATTTTCATTTCGTTATAAGTAATTTTTAGTAAAATTTCTTTTCAAAACGCATTTCCGGCATCTAAAATCAGTGTAACAGGTTCAAGCTTAACCCTAACAAGCCTCTTAAACTAAAAATATTGTTAAAATCAAGTGCCGGATATCTATAGCCAACCCGAACATAGGCCTTTAGACTGTATGGCGCTAAGATTGCAATAAAGTCAGTCTGACCCATCTGCATCCATCATGATTCATTAGATCCTCTAGTAGGAATCGTCTCAACACTGCACTTGACGGTATGAGGTTGCCGCTAGAGAACCTTTCATCCCCATCAGTTGTCGGTCCCTCGCTATTTAGGTGGCCGGCCCCTTGTAACTTCAGCTTACTGATCCACTGGGTTATGTTAGTTATTTTTGTTCTTCTGTGGATATCTATGTTATGGATTTTACCCAGCACGGAAATTGCGCGTTATTTCCATATTACTCTGAATGACTGAGCTTCCTCATAATGTCAGGAGGGAAGGACCTTGTTTCCTAAAAGCAGTCCAGCTGAGCCAAGATTCGTCAGTTGATCTATTGGTCGAAGTTACACTTATCTCATATTAAATGTAAGAATATTCACTACTCTTATCCTCTTGTGGTCTTAATAAGAGGCTACAGGGGAAATCTGAACCAGGAGATGGGCAGCAGCATCTTTCTGATAACATCTGAATAAGAAAACATCCTGTACATTTTTATTGCAAGTTAACAATTTTTTTTTCCTTTTTCCATTTTTTCTGGTACATGAACAGACGTTTTCTTTGCGTTGCTCGTATTCGGTGGAAGTTTTTTCCATCTTAAACTCTTTGCCCTGAATTGCTATTTTCAAATGTGTAAATGTTTTTGGTTGATTTTTTAAAGCTGAGCAGTTACTTTATGACTTACCATTTTGTTTTTGGAGTATGTATGTGCATATGTGTATCATATGTTTGCTTTTGTGTTAAAAAGTTCGTTCTGTTTCGTGATTTAGTGTAGTCTCGGATTTTGAAGTGCATTGTTTCGTTAGATATATCTTCATTTTTGAGTCTGTCGGAGTTATGATCTAAATATAATATTAATATTAGTTTTGAATTGTCATTACTTTTGAATAATTATTTAAATATAACACTACGAGCGCTGTAAAACAAAATGCTTTGAATGGAACTGGTGTTCCATCACAGGCATGATAGCTCCGGGGAACCAAAGAGTTCACTTTAAATGAAAAACGTACTGCAATTGACTTTAGTTTTGTCTTAAATAATTATTTATATACAGGGTGTTAGTGTAAACACCGTTATCCTTGAAACCAGTGGTTTGGTTTCACTTATAGAACGTAAATTCAATGATATTAACAACATTTTTTAGTATAATCTCAATTTTTCCTTAAAATTATTTCACCCTATGCGCGTAGGTACAGTAAATTCCAGTAAAGCACACAGCAGCGCGTGGCTCGGCGGCGGAGGGCGGGTGGCTGTGACAAACTTTTTAAATTTTATGTAAGAAAATAGCGTTTTTTTCGTAAAATCGGATTAACATTTTTATATTAAAGCCAACTACTTATGGTTTTAGTGACAACGGTGTTTACATACCTGGTACGGTTCTGAGACCACCTCCTGAGCAATCACAGGTTTTAGTATTTGTTCCATTTTAAAATTATGATATTTTTAATCTAAGAATCTAGCATGACTGAGATCGGAAATAAGAGCTGCGTTTTTATTTTTATTTTACAGCAATGTCAGCATATCAGAAGTTCTATGCCCTTGAACCTGACAATTGGAAGGATCCGTTATTTTTGTACGGATTAGGTCTCTGCTACTATCACTATAATGCCTTTGAGTGGTGAGTCTTCTAAATTAAATATTATAAAATTAACCATGAACCGTGAAAGGAGCGAGACGTCTGCTAATGCAATCACCAACCCTGCCAAGCTTGATTATGGCAAACTCTTCTTACAATAGGAGAGGCCCATGACAGCAGTGCACTTTTAAAAGAAGTATAAGAAACATAAACACTGGGCATACTATCAGAGGTTATGATGCGCAGGAAGTTTAGGGAGACAGGTAACACTCAATACCATATTCTCGGGAACAGTGCATTTTGTCGATTGTATTGCTAGGAGTTGTTTGAATTAACTGCATCATCATATTGATTGTAGGTAATCCATCGCCTTGCGTTTCTCCATAAAATTTCTGTTACGCGCGACTACATTGTGGTATTTACTGTCTTGTTGTGATCTTCTAAAATAGAGCCCATGCTTTTCTAAAACGCCGGCAGGCGCACCTACTATTTCTCTGGTATTGCGGATTTCTATGGGTGGCGGTGGTCACTTAAAACGTGAGCCGCATGCCCGTTTGACACTTATTCTATAAACGGCTTAACTTATTCTATCGACGACTCCGTGGCGCAGGGGCTTAGCTTAAGCCTTTGACGTGTTAGTAACTTTGTACGCATTATTGCGTTTAACGTGACCGACGCGACGGCAGTTTAAGTGTTAAGTTGCAGCTCTAAGGTCCACGGGTTTGAATCGCGCCTGGCACAAATGTTTGTATGGTCTACTTACATGTTTATCCTTGTGCAATTTATGTTTGCAAACTGCCACTACGGTATAGGAGAAAATTCTAGCGTGGAGTTTACGTTTTTTTTTAAAAAACCCAATAAATAAATTGTACTGGATGGATATATACAAAAATATATGATACAAAAATAGGGTGAACATATGAATGGAGAACGGAGTAGATGCCTAAGACACTGATATTTTACAAAAAATAAACAAACATATATTTTGAATTAAATAAATAAACTAATTAAAATCTAATGAAATTCAAATCATATCCAGCCTACTTTACGAACGGCAATAAATTTAGTAGGCATCTTTGATCTTGTCACTTCACAGGGTCACAGGCTATATTATATATAATTTATTTATATATAAAAATAGGGTGTAATATCACATGTTACACCTTATTTTTTCCAGACGTTAAAAGAACTCACCAGTATAATATATCGATAACTAGCTAATACCCGCCCGCATCGCTGGGCACACGATAGCGGAACCTTGATATTTTATCTAGATTTTTTTAATGGAACTATCTTAAAATCAGTTTTTATTGAGTGCCATTGCTACATTGACATTGCGAAATGAGTAACTATAATAATTTTCAAGTAGTATGTGTGTGTGTGTGTGTGTGTGTGTGTGTGTGTTTGTGTGTCGTGTGCGTGTGCGTGTGCGTGTTCGTGTGTGTGCGTGTGTGTGTAGTGTGTGTGTGTGTGTGTGTGTGTGTGTGTGTATACATCATTTAAAAAAAAGTGGAGAAAACATGTGCAAACTGGTTAACTTAAAGAATCAGCGACAAAAAAATGAAATATTTACCTTGACTTCAAAAACATGTTACATAATAACAACTAATTTAAAAAAAATATGCTGACTACATATATTTGTATACTTAGCCTAAAATTAATTACCCAAATCTTGGACCATTACTGGCAACATTCTCCCATTACGTAATCCCGAAACATTGACATTCGTGCTTCGAATAACCTTCAAAATTGTGTTGGAATAACAAATTAAAATATAGTTAAATGAGTGTTTAAGAGTGAAACGATATTACTTCAGACTTTTTGTTTACTATAGTATTGTTTTTGCACCATTTAACTACACAGGACGGCATTTTGTAGGCAAATTTACTGGACGACGCCCCGGGAAGTACTGAGCGAAAATGAGTAGTTTGATGCATCTGTGTGCGTGAACGCGTGTGCTTACATAAAGGAGCTGAGTTTTTTGGCTTCACCAATAACAAAGGCCGCGCTGTATCTACCTTTTTTTACTTCATCTGTGTCCACAAATGATTGCGATGGCTATTCGAATACAGAACCAGAATACAAAACCAATATATCCTCGAAATCCTCAACTGCTGCGTTCGAAAACGGATTAGCGAATAGACATCACTCGATTTGATTCGAGATGATTCGATTCGACAATGACCTCAATAGTATCTCCCAACGGATTGGTCCTATCCTACCTATGCCGATAGTTGTTGGGAACACAACGCTTGAAGTTTTAGACGTGTCAGTTAATATTGGATAAATGGTCAAATAAGGCAATTCCAACTTCTACCGAGAGGTCAATCGACGTATTCAAGCGTTCGGGAGATAACGACATCTATCCGTCGCTTATACCTCAAAACTTAAAGACATGTAGATCTGCAACGCGATCCTTCACTGATAGTCGTATGAGGAAGCTTAAAGTCGCTCAATGAGTAATAGAGAGGGCTATGCTTCGAGTTTCTTTGCGTGATAGAATTCATAATGAAGATTTAGCACCCTCTTATCTATATCTACTGCCGAATTGTAAATTGTACTGCTGTGTTCCGTTCTGAAGGGTATAGAGAAGCAGTATACGGAACATAAGGCATTCCATCCTCAGACTAGTCATAGAAAGAGCATCTGTAGCCTTCTGCTTAAAGTTGATTACAGGTCGTAAAGACAGACCGTAAGGTGGACTGTAAGTTCGTTAGTGACTTCAGTTTCATAAAAAAAAACTTCGCAACGAACTCCGGAAGAAGAATTCTCTTCTTTCGGAGTTTGAGAAAACTCCCTAAGGTTGTTTTGATTCACTAAAATAACTTCCCGACTCACTATCCCGCCGTTGTCATGGCAGCAATTCGCGATGCTGGTTTTGAAAAATTTTTTTTTATAAAAGTGGGGGCAAACGAGTATGCGGTTCACCTGATGGTAAGTGACTACCGCCGCCCATGAACAACCGCAACACCAGAGAAATTGCAGGTGCGTTACCGACCTTTTAGAAAGGAGTAAGCACTTTTCTTGAAGGTCCCTAATTCGTATCGGTCCGGAAAAGTCGCCGGTCATAAACAATTCCACAGAGAAGTTGCACGAGGAAGAAAACTCCTAGTAAAACGCAGTGGTGCACCACCAAGCATCCAGATGGTGAGGATGGTATCGTGAAATTTGGCGGCTGGAACTAATCCGAACAATTCCTTAGAACACTCCCTGTGGTAGATGCGATGGAAAACGCAAAGGGATGCAACATACCTACGCAGCGTCATTGAATCGAGCCAGTCGGAAAGAACTCGGTCGTCGACGATTCGAACCGAAATACTAGAGCATCCTTCATATTTAGGTACTAAACCTTGCATCTACTGATTTCTGAAATCGAAGATGATGGAGCGGTAGTCGCTGCAGTACAGGAATTTTCAAATGCTCACGATGAACAGTTCTTTAGGAAGGGAAATTTAAGTTCAGAACAAAAGACGTGCGAAATAATATAATATTAGTTTTATACAAGTCAACTGTAACATTCGAATATATATATCATAGTTAAGACACAATAGTAGCTTTAGTGTTCAAAAATCTGATTAGATCGTCGGTAGAAACAAAAGTTGGCTACATTCGTATCGTAGTACCTATTAATTTTTATTCTAATAAGTAGTTTTGTCATCAAGGGTAATTCATTGTGAATCTATACGTGAGAGAGCATCGGCATTGGTGTTAATTTTGCCTTTCTTATAAATTACTGTAAAGTCATGCTCGCTAAGTTTAAGTCGCCATCTTGTGAGACGAGAATTTGGTTCTTTCAAATTCATCATCCACTGCAATGGTTTGTGGTCTGTCAAAATTTTAAATTTACGTCCAAACAAATATGGTCTAAAGTATTTCGTAGCCCAGACTATGGCGAGAAGTTCTTTTTCGATTGTACTGTAATTAACTTCGCTTTCGTTTAACGTACGAGAAGCGTAGCAGACTGGTTTGTCTATGTAGCAGTAAAATACTTTTTAATTCATTCGAATAGGACATTTTAATTTCGAAGTTATCACCGTCACACAGCTCTGTGCGCGAATGACGCATAACACTATCCGCCCAAGGAGAAACTAGAAAAAACAGGAGTGGATACCTGTATAAGCGAGGTGTCATGTCGCGCGGCACAGACGCTAATATACGCGGGTGAAACCGCGGGGCACAGCCAATATGTAATAAAACGGATCGTTACGGAGAACAGAATCTGGCAAAAGTCACGTCGCATGCATTTAGAGATCTGTCTGTACAATTGCTTGTACGCTGTCATATCTGTTGAAAACTTCAGTTTAATTTTCTTTTTAACAGCCGTGGAATTCGAACAATTTCTATTTTATACACTAAAAACAAGTTTGTAATTCAAACTGAAAGTTTTCAGGGCTTTGAATCGTGAGGTGGACAGAGCGGTGACTTTATTGGCACGGTATGACCAACTTAACGTTATAAGGTTCGGAGTTTTCACCATCGCGTTCACTGAGAAATCACTGAACAGTTTTTTTTTTTTTTTGACAAACGAGCTGAAAGTCAATCTGATGGTAAGTGGTTACTGAACCCATAGACATCTACATCTATCAAAACAAATTAAATCAATCAATCAAAACGCAGATGCGCTGCTACCCGTGAATACTAAGATGGAATGCCTCGTTTCCAGTAAAAAGGGTTTTCGGTTCTCTACACACACCATACGAAACTAAAGCTGTCTGTGAGAGCGTGGTCCTTCCCCAGTCGAGCAGACCTATTCGTGCTACATCTCTCGTCAAGACTGAACTGAACTGATCATAAAATGTCCCTTCTTCTCTATGAAGTTATCCAACTTTTTACCATTTGGGTTCCGTTGCCCTATTTAAAATTTTAGTTCACCGTCCTTTTTTGTATCTAGTTTTGCATTGGTGTCTCCCACATCAACACCATATAATGAGTTTTGTTTGAGGAATGCATGAATGCATAACTACGTATTACCAGCAAAAAGATGTTAGTTGATTACCTGCCCAATAACTTAGTGTTTTTTTATAGAGTAAGGGACACAGTCCACCT